TTAGTAAATAAGTTGCGAAAATTTCCACAGCTGTATTCAGAAGACGAATTGGCTAGCACACGTTGCTTTCAGTGCATTCTCCTCAGGTCGATAAGTCTAAACATTACACTCGCCATTTGGCTGAAATTTTTACAAATTCCGCCGCAGAACTGATATAGTTACTCCCTCAAGGGCTGTAAATTCACGTTGGTAATGGAAAGGGCAGGTTCGCTCACTTTGTTAGATACCTGACAGTAGCGTCCGAAAGAGCGTCTAAAGGGGATGGTGTCTTTCTACGTGAGGCAACTGAGACGTGCTTGAATGCCGATATGCTTCAATGTCACTTAACAAGATAAAGATGTAGGCGTAATTCGCTAAATAAGTTTATGTCGAAGTAAGATGGTCGATGACTCGAGTTTTCTCAAATCAAAGTGTGAGGAAGACAAGGTTATTCGGTAATCAGTATTAAGCCCTTGGCATACATAGAGGTGAACTAACGGAGGCAGAAATTGCTTCCACCAGCCGTGTGCAAGCTGCCTGAAGGCGTTAATCCGACGCGAAGTGTACGTGTCCGAGCATTGGCCGGCCGCAACTAATCTGCGAAGTCTGAAACGGGTCGAAGATTGGGTATCACAGGCTTTTTATGTGGGCGGTAGGCTAAATGGTTAAGTGGACATGAGGAGGAACGCGAAAGCAGACCGCCGCATGTGTGTACACATGAAAAGACCAGTTCGCAAATGAAGCGCCTGCGTAGGATGCTCCTTACTACAGGCCATCTCAATGTCAATTAAAAATGTCGACTAATTTGTCAGAAAGGGCGGCCGGAAGGGTGGCAGGAATCACGCAACATTTATTTTACCTACATAATGCCTGTTTATGTCACGCAGGAAATAAATAATTAATAGACAAAATGGTATTACCGACAAAGACAAGGGAGACTAGAATGGCCACTTCTGACTTATTAAACGTCGTCATCCAGTCATACCCAACCCGGAAGTCTGGAATACCCGAGGCTCGAACTCACGACCTGTTAGTTGAAAGGCCAACGCCTCTAATCATTGGGCTACGTGCCCGTTTTCCTGTCGGTTGTGGTTGGGAATATACAGTGTTAGAGGGGCGTTCGTTGAAAGTTTTCTACGGAACTCACTCTTCCCGTTGTGCCTTACGGGCTCTCCCTCAATCCCAACCAGCAGTCTCACTTCGGGGTTGGGTATGACTGGCTGACAACGGTTAATAAGCCAAAAATGGCCATTCGAGTCTTCCTAGTCTTTGTTGGTAATACCATTCCGCCTATATCTTGCGCCGCTGTGCGGCTGCTGGTTGGGCTTCAGAGAGAGCCCGTAAAGCACAACTATCCGTGAATGCCCTTCTACCACCAAATACTTAATAATACAGCTATCGAAAAGCAACCTTAGCATAGCAAGTTAAATCTAACGATCCATAGACGAAGGAAGCTACCATATACAGTGCAACCGTTTAAGTTGAGAAAATGAATAAAAATTTTTACGATGACTCCTGTGAGTGACGCTAGATAAGTTTACTTTCTCGGGAGACTAGTTTCTTAAATGAGGGCACGTGATTTGTGGGCGATGGTATCGCTATAAACAGTATCCGTTCGTTTATGCATGCGAAAAGGCAAATTCTAGTGGAGAACTACGGAGAAAGGCAGATGGTCGATGAAATAGTGGTTAGATAAAGGAAAATTGAATCAGCATTAATAAACGCTGGCATTTATAATCAATCAAGGTTTTTCCTACTGATTTATCGATAAAGGTTTCTCAGGATGGCTAGGAAATTTTACACGATTTTTCAATGGATTTTAGGGTTATTGCTAAAGATAAGACTTTACAGTTTACTCAAATAAAAAAATTTCCACATGCTTTTCATTTGATAGGTAGTCTCGCAAATGCTCTACTATACGGAATATATAGGCTTACGTACAATACATGTATGAATATGAAGGTAGCTTTACCATACCCTCAAACAAATTTTTATCAGATTGTTGTGTCCCATGTCGCCTCTATTGGGGGCTCGGGTTCTTACTTTGGCCTTCAATATTACGATTGATGAGTCGATCCTAAATCACTGTTCATGGACAATTAATTTCAGGCTTATTAATTAATTTGCAGCCTTTTCAGCTGAAAATATAGAGGCAGTTTAGTGCTGTCTCACAAGAAAATCCCAAATAAAAATGATTTTTCTAAGTTTTTAACGTAATGGAAAATGCATTTTTCTCAATGTCATAAGATGAGCTGCTTCATCTTAGAGTTTTGCGGCTATTCAAAAACTGTGTCAACGACTGATTCCCTCGACTTGAAGAGTCATTTCAATGTTCCATACTCCAAAGCAACAAATGGAATTGACATGAGTCAAGTAATTAGCTTTTGTTCTCAATTATCTGAGCTGAATAAACGTCAACTCCATTGCGACACGCTTAGCTTCATCAATCGAAAACAAAAATCGTGAACAAGCACTTGAAAGGACTTAGGCGCTTGTGAAAGCAAGATAACACTTCTTCTATTTCAATAGAATATTTGACTGACTGTCCATTTTTTAGACCGAACCCAATTAAAACCCTCTTGCTTTTCTTGCAAAACGGCAACTCTTCTTTTCGCACTGCGTCGTTTGGTCATGTCCAACTCGTCTGCCACGATCAGAAACTGTCAGCATTTTGTGGACCACTATGCATAATGTAGGTTGGACTTTTCGTCAATTGTTGAAGACGCAATTATTACTGAGCACAGTTGGCTTCAACAGCAAGATGACAAGAAGCATGACGGGTTGCAGTCAACTCATGACAGCAGCAACTAACTTCGGTTCTCAGCATTCCCAAATGAGCAGCGGAATAAAACACGAAAAACGTTAGAACAACAGTAAATCTTAACTGATGAATACTTGGGTGTTCCTTGAAAGAGACCGGAAACACTGGCGTCCAATTTTCGAAGTAGAATACTACCGGTTGTATAGAGAAGTGATAAATGTATAGTAAACTGCAATACTTTTCCAGGAATTAAAAACGCAGCAAACGCGTTAAACGTCACTACGGTCATGTGAAGAGAAGTTTTTGTTCAAACCTACCAGGAGTATTTACACTTATCTAATCACTAGGGAGGCCAGAGGCGTCCCCCTATATTTCCTTTCACAGATATTTTACATCTGATAGGCGCAGTTCTGAGCTTCCATAAAGTATATGACACTCTGTCGGTACCCTATGCTGAATAATTACTGACCACTATCCACTTGTCTCCTAGAGCTGTAAGTTCAGCCCCAAAGCTCACCGGTACAAGCAGGTCCCATGATCTTATCAGTGAACGCCCTCGCACGACGATGATTCTAGATATGTTTTCAACTGTGATGTGAACATATTTCAAGTTACTAGTATAATTGCAATGAGGATAATAACGGAGAAAATTCAAGGGTAACTTTGTAAAGTCCTTTCCGTTAAGCAAATGTCGACCGTTCAATCGAATAATTCGCAGTGCATAATGAATGTTGCTTTTCGCAGTTCAAAGGGAATGTGAATCTTTGCATTTGGCCAATGTTTTAGAAGAATCTTCTCTTTTTGGAATCTTATATTAAGTGAAATCGATTACCGTCATAAACATGCATATTTTGAACAAGCCGCTAGTCGGAGATAAAGAACAAAACATGGAACAAAGACGTTCGATAGCACATATTTTCGCATAAAATACGATTTTCGAACAGTCAGTAAAATTAACGAGAGGTGTTTAGGTGTGAGACATATTTTTTTCTGACGTTTCACACAGATATTGTGGCTACACGTTTTCTGAAACTGGAAAGTCGCGTATACAGTGTATACCTGTGTATTCACAACAACAGGCTGCATTCGAACTGTGACAGACAACAGTCAGCTGATCGCTGGTTTTGTAGGTTTATGTTATTTAGGGTTTGACTGCACGCTTCAGCCAGCGGCCGTTTTATGTGCCGTTCTCGAGCATCGCTCCTGATGATCATGGCAGCAGAGTACTCTTCGCATGCCTAATCTTGCCTACCCCATCTATGAAGAAGCAGAAGTCAGAATCCTTGGGTTTTATGTTCTACTTAACTGGCAGCGTTTTGCCTTGTCTCACAGAATCTGACTTCTTTTTTCTGATATGAATGCATTTTAAGGATTCTAAGACCCTTTATACTTGGCTGATGTTCTGACGGAAACCAGCAGTCTACTCAAGACGGAAATTTCCAGCTTGTTTTTATGTCAAAATATTATAGTTGAGATAAGGCAAATTCATGAATGGCTGGGTGATTAAGGAGTCTCGACGGCCTATTTTGATTTTTGACTGTGTGCAGGCATAGCAACGTCTTCCGCCTGTGCGTTTATTATTTCCTCTTTCCAGTCGCTGCACACGGAGTCGACGCAATCCTATCTCCGGCCTTTCTTCTTTCTTGCTCTACGTGCTTTGTATCCTTCCTTATCTAACCCACCAAGTTTTCTATCACTAAATGTATTGTGCTTGGCACTGAGTGCACTGGAGAAGGAGACACGATCTCCGGGACAAGAGCTTTATTAACCTGACGTTTCGGATTCCTACTCAAATCCATCATCAGAGACAAAAGAGCAGAAACGGGTGGTTGTTGCACAAGGGGCTGCGGTATTTATAGGATGCAGCAGCCATGCTACCGCATACCTATGAACGTTCACGGCTTCCCCCTTCATCCGGGATTGTCACACTTGGTGTGATCATTGCTTGATGGCCGACATTCGAGTCGATAATTGCTGCAATTTCATCACGTGCGTTGGATGTTGGCGTGATGATGGCTCCACCATCTGACGCGCTGACCCGGGTGTTGGGAAGAGTGTTCACAAGTGCGCTCCCCGCGTGGCCAATTACTCCGCCTAGACGAAGTCTCAGCACGCTGTATTGAATGGGAAGATCGTTGCACTTGTTGATGGACTGGGGGCCAGTAAACCATGATTTCAGTAGCTCCCGGCTCACTCGGTTGTCACCTCTTGCGAGAATTTCGGCCTCATCGAATTTAAATGTGTGGCCGGATCTCGTCGAATGAGCCGCAACTTGAGAGCTGGCGTCATTTCTGCGCACCGCTGCCGCGTGTTCGGCCATTCTCGTTCGGAGCTGTCTTCCGGTCTTCCAAATGAGGTCATGGTATCCTTTGATGTTACATCCCTTTTTACTTCTATTCCGCAGGACCTGGCGATCGAGACAATTGAACTGATACTACAAAGCAAATACGATGAAACGGAGAACCGTCTTGGACACGCCCAAATCCTTGAGCGCCTGAAGCGCTGTCTCAGGACGTACTTCACTTTCGACGGGACAATCTACGAACAGGTGAAGGGCACACCAATGGGTTCGCCGGTTTCGGGATTCATCGCCGAGGCGGTCCTGCAACGGTTAGAGTCGTTGGTTTTCCAACACCACAGACCGAAATTCTGGGCCCGGTATGTGCATGATACCTTCGTCGTCATCGAACGGGATCAGGTGTTGACATTCCAAGAACATCTCAACGCCGTCTTCCCGGACATTCAATTTACGATGGAGGAGGAAGAGAACAAACAGCTGGCCTTCCTGGATGTCCTCGTATGCCGCAAGGATTGTGGTGGACTAAAGACCAAAGTGTTCAGGAAAGCGACAAATACGATGCAACTACAGATCTACGACAGTAACCACCCAATCAGCCACAAACGCAGTTGTGTAAGGACGCTCTATCGGCGTGTCGAAACGCACTGCAGTGAGCCGGAAGACAAAACTGCTGAACTACAATACCTCCGACCGGTCTTCAAAGCCAATGGCTACCCGCGCAACTTCGTCGACCGGTGCATACGCAAAAGGGACGAAAGGCCTAACCGCACGGACACCAAGTCTTGGCGGGCACTTCCGTATGTCAAGAACGTTTCGGAAGCTGTCGGCCGCCTTCTCGCATCACTTGGGGTTGGAGTGGCACACAGACTGGAGGCAACCATCAGGCGTCTGATCATGAAACCGAAAGACCCACTGCCACGGCTAGAAACGTCTGGAGTCGTTTATCGGATCTGGTGCAGTTGCGGACAAAGCAACTACGTCGGAGAAACCGGAGAAACCGTTGCAGGACCGCCTCGGAGATGAATCCCGAAACCGGCGAACCCATTGGTGTGCCCTTCACCTGTTCGTAGATTGTCCCGTCGAACGTGACGTACGTCCTGAGACAGCGCTTCAGGCGCTGAAGGATTTGGGCGTGTCCAAGACGGTTCTCCGTTTCATCGTATTTGCTTTGTAGTATCAGTTCAATTGTCTCGATCGCCAGGTCCTGCGGAATAGAAGTAAAAAGGGATGTAACATCAAAGGATACCATGACCTCATTTGGAAGACCGGAAGACAGCTCCGAACGAGAATGGCCGAACACGCGGCAGCGGTGCGCAGAAATGACGCCAGCTCTCAAGTTGCGGCTCATTCGACGAGATCCGGCCACACATTTAAATTCGATGAGGCCGAAATTCTCGCAAGAGGTGACAACCGAGTGAGCCGGGAGCTACTGAAATCATGGTTTACTGGCCCCCAGTCCATCAACAAGTGCAACGATCTTCCCATTCAATACAGCGTGCTGAGACTTCGTCTAGGCGGAGTAATTGGCCACGCGGGGAGCGCACTTGTGAACACTCTTCCCAACACCCGGGTCAGCGCGTCAGATGGTGGAGCCATCATCACGCCAACATCCAACGCACGTGATGAAATTGCAGCAATTATCGACTCGAATGTCGGCCATCAAGCAATGATCACACCAAGTGTGACAATCCCGGATGAAGGGGGAAGCCGTGAACGTTCATAGGTATGCGGTAGCATGGCTGCTGCATCCTATAAATACCGCAGCCCCTTGTGCAACAACCACCCGTTTCTGCTCTTTTGTCTCTGATGATGGATTTGAGTAGGAATCCGAAACGTCAGGTTAATAAAGCTCTTGTCCCGGCGATCGTGTCTCTTTCTTCAAGACTACTTCCTGGGACTCGGCTCTTCGCTTCTATTGGCAATGAGTGCACTCTTACAATGAGTGCGCTCCTACCTCCAAAATTATTGATGGGCTTGTGCTTAAACTTACCCTCATGACTGACTATAAACCGGTCATTCTGAAGCCAGAAAAATAGATGCCCTCTGCAGTACTCTACAATTATCCTTCTTGTTCGCAATAACCCGTAATTTTCGTGCGAAAAAAACGCAGCATTTACTCTTATGAAAGTAGAAAATGACCGCCTTTTCGGCACAACTGGGTTCTTTGTTTTCATGCCTGCTTCCGGCATTGCCTGACGTGGGGATCTGCCGAAAAGCTTGGTGCAATCGTCGGCTAGTCGAGTGCCTCCTCCTCTGAGTTAAACTAGAAAATCTCTTAGGCGCAAGTGTATTTAACCCTGTTCCCTTAATCACTTTGTCTATAAATTGATCGGCTTAGGTGACTTATTAGTATATCTTTATCAGACACAATGACAACCTCATAAATGTCCATCTTATAAAGGTAATGGTGATTTCTGTTTTATTCAGTATGTTAATAGATGGCATTTTGGTAAAGAAGTACAAACATCTTTATTGTGTCCAGCAGCAGAAATTCTCAAACAATAAAAATAGGCAATTTTCAACCTCCATAAAGTTGTTCGATGCCCAATTATACGGAAACTTATGTAAGATACTGGTGCAACATAAAATAAGCAGAGAAATACGTTTCGTAATGTTAGCAGATCCGTTAGACCGAGTTCAGAACACGAAGAGAAGAAATGGGATGCCAAATAGGAGGGTGTTGTATTCTGTACAGAATTACTGGAGGAGAGGTAGGTGGGAGGTGGCAGCTGAACGAGGGCTCGTCCGACATCGCGAGAGGGACGTCCGTCAGTGTAAGACAGCGGGGCGCCTTCAGCGAGGTCATGCCTGAATCAGTCCCGAAGATGACTAGCCAGTTTGGACAGCAATTATTGACGAAGAACGGGACTGCAATTGGTGCGTGCAATATTTGAGGCAAGAAAGGTCGATAAAGTATAAGACCACAAAAGCGGTTTGATTCAAAGACTTGATTCGATCAAACTTATTGAACTCATGACGCTTCTTATCTGCCATTTCCTTTTCTACAAAAGTGTATCATAAGTAGTGGACTTATCCGTTTAACAAATCTCCGTACTGGAAAATTCGTCGAGGGCTATAATGACTTCACGGGTTTAAGATCGACTTTAGTTGGCAGTAATCGTCATTTTTAATTCTTTATAGTAAGTATATCACATTTTCGTCGCTTGCGTTTTAATCCATACTTCTGGCTTTAGAAACATACATCGAGTTTTATGTACGGTTTCGGGTCAAATTATAACTTTTTATATAGGGTTTTGTGAACATAATCCTTAAACCGCTTTGAGTGAAAAGGAACAGTTTCCTAGCTTAGTATCTTACACATGTCTAAAAAGAGGCTTCTAAGTTCTGTAGCAAACTTTAAACATTATTTCTTGTTTTGAAAACACTACGAATCTCCCATTTTTGGTCTAACGAACGACAAATGACTAATCACAGTCATTGTTTCTGTTTATTTTATACGGGGACAAGGACGATATTTGTACACTAACATCCAATGTCATCCTGTTACTGACATTAAACATGACCGTCTAAAATTTCAAAACGGGGAGACTGTAAAGGAAAACGGTTTTTCCGACGTTTTTTCTTAGGCATATTTCAATTTAAAAATATTTGTGCATTTAAATAACTTTCTTCCATATTTTATGTTAATCCTTTTGGGCTGTCACGGAAGCCGTTGTTTACTCCCATGCTACATCTTTCTGTAACTTCGATCTCTGATCCACCATTTTTGGGCCATAAACACGTATCTACCGGGTCTGTAAGGCCGTTTTAAAATGTCAAAATAAATTGCTGTTGTTCTCCTCCACTAAAAAAGATCAACTGCTCATAAACACTGCCAAACAACCTAATTTCGTTATTTGTAGCATATTTTTGTACTTTATCTAACAAATATAAACTTGACCTCTTTATAAAAAATACAAATTCGTTTCTTTTACCGGCGAGAACCCAGCGCAGAAACCAAATGAACAATCAGTTCTTAATGTATGTGTTTCTTTCTCGGCAGCGGGGTCCATTAAGGGATCCAAAAGGCTATACGAATACGGTTTCTGCTCCCATGACAAAACATGAGTCCTCTGCCTCAGGAGGTTAAGGGTAGGGTCTTGGACCTGTATAAAATAGACACTCCTTATTGTGAGAAAGTGAAGGCTCTTCGGAAAATTGAGTTGTACTCGTAAATTTTCAAGTCGGTGACACCGACCCGTCGTCAGACGAAATGAACAGAGGGAAAGTGAAGTCGGCAGACTAGGTCGGCTGGCGCGACAGGACAGACAACGACAAACAGAAAGCAGATGTGTGAGAGGGGTGGGCACCTAGTTATGTCGCAGATTAGGAAAATGGGAAACATAAAATTATATACAAACAGGAAGCAATTGCCGAGCACTCTAATTTCAAACCAGACTTCAGGCTTATCGACCTGTCAGGGACTCCAGCATGCTTCGCTAATAACCGCTTTTTTGTCATTATTTGAAGGTAAGGATTTTTTATTCTGACAAATATTCTGTCACTAATGCCAGGCGAAACATCTAGTTTGGTGATCAGCATTTCCACTAAAAACTAGACAAAAGCAGTTACCGATCAGAACACGAATGCTTGTGTCGACCTCAGCCGACCTCTCCGCACCCCACTCCGCGTAATACTGGATCCAAAAAAAGAAAAGATGCGATTTCTGGGGCCGGTAATTTAGTCACTCTGCATATCACTGTTTTATATGAGTTCATGGTAAATTTGGCCGAAGACTCTCTGTACGGTTGGTTCATAATTGCAAGACTTTGACGTAAAGGTGCCCGAACGAATTTATCACATAGAGCCTATTATGCGCGTCGTGCACAATTTTGCAAATTAGCCGAAATGCCGGCCGGATGTCATTTATACTGCAGACGCCCGAAACCCAGTTGTCAGTTTGGGCGTAGATCATCCGGTAATTTAAATATGAATGGTGTCTTGCAGAAACTCCAGAGATCGAAATATCTATCTGCGATGGAAGTGAACCTCAAAATTTTTTATACTCATTCATAGAAAACCGGGCCTAGAAAAGAAAAAGGTCATTTCCACATATGATATCGGGTCATTTAGTTTGTAGTGCCTACAGTGTCTTGGGGAAATCAGGCTGCAACCGCGATAGTTGAACTGATTTGACCGTTTATAAGACTCTGTTTACACAAACGGCGTGCGCGCGAACTCACCCTCTAAATCTTTTCAAGTTAAGGTAACTGCGAGATCTAAACGACGGAGAAAGTTTAATTACCCTGTGTATCGTCGTATCTAGGTTAAATCTGGACCTTATTCTCCCATATACAGTATATGAGAGCATTAGTCGGCGCTCTCCAACTAGTCATATCTCTTTTAACTTCGATGTAATAAGAATTTTAGACGTCCGGTTTTACTACTAGGGGACTGCAAACCATTATAAGAAACAGAAGCAATTTTGAAAATTGGAACTGATATGTAATGGAGTATCGGTGAGAAGTAAACATTAAACTGGTGCTAGTAAAACACTTCCCTATTCCCGCCGACCATACTAGAAGTATCGCACAAATAAGGTGATTTGAAGTATCAGTAAATTGCACGACAGGTTTAGACCCTAACTACAATGCAAAAACGCATCTCAAACGTCTCACCTAACAAGATGTGCTAGGTGAGCTCAACGGTCTCAATTATCAACAAAAGATAAGTAGACACTTTAAAGCGTCGGACATATACACAAATCAATAAGAGCCTGTTAATTTCTACTTTTTAATTTACATCACCTATTAACTGGTCGTCAACTTCGTAAATCTGACTGGTGGACAAATTTCATGCATACACACCAAAAACTAAAAGTCTTGCTTTCTCAAATCAACCGAACGGGTAAAATCACAGAACATCCGGCACTTGGGCAAGAGTAAGCAGTTACAGCACAAAATAGAAATTGCCGCGCAGGATCTTGATCTTTTAGGCACAGAAAGTTGAGTTTTAATTTTGCTATTTACATTATATCCTATTCATTTTTTCGTGTGTATTGACTTTCCTTGCATACATTAAGC